TTATCATCTAGCAAACGCGAGAATCCAAATATTCTTGAGACCTGCTACTTGCTTGCTTCGCTTCCAAATATTCTTGAGACCTGCTACGCGAGATGAGGAAGAGAGAAAGCGCAAGGTATTACAGGAAGGTATTACAGGAAACTGCGGCTGAGATGTGAGGGTTGAACACGAAGAAGACGAAGGGTTGAAATACTCACGCAGATTCCCAGGCGAAATTAAATACATTCTATAATTAAAGCCATTGCGAAATTACAAAACAAGCCCTAATGTCCTCACAAAGCTGATGCACGTGGCAAAAAAGCCCAAATCATATAGATCATTCATCTAAACTAATTAAGGGTCAGAAAAGGTGCTCACGAGCTCACCTGCCAAGGGGGTGTGCACCGGATCCAATATATATATATATATATATATATATATATATATATATATATATATATATATATATATATATATATATATATATATATATATATATATATATATATATATGCCACCCGTGCGTTGCACGGTATGAATACGATCAATTGATTATTATTCAAAATATATATTATTTAACAAAGCATATGAATATGTTATTCAATGTAATTTCGGTCTTCTTTTGAAATAAATGGATTGTTAAAAATATAATTGAATCTCTTTTTAAAAAATTGTTATTCAAGTTGTAAAAAAAAGTATAGAATGAAACATAAATTTTCAAAAATTCAATACAAAATGTATTTTTTAGCATTAATAAATTGATTATTTATATTGAACATGACACCGTACTATCAACACATTATAATGGACTATTTTATTAGATTGCACATGATATTTCAAAATTGTAAATGTAAATAATTAAATGTATGTATAAAATGATGACTACACATAGACTACGCTATTATATGAGCAGGAAATAAATAATATTTTGTACATGCAACAAAATGATATTCATTCAATATATGTATAGTAGATAAAAAAAAAAATTAAATTCATTAAATCTGAAGGTGTCAATGAGAGTGGAGGAACTAACACTGCAAAAAAAATGGGGAAACAACGATGGATCTATATTTCGCAAAAGCAGTACTGTAGAACTAACTTTTAAAGGTAATGAATGGTTGGAAACACGTGAGCATCTCAATGTATTTAAGAATTCCGACGAGTGCGACTATGATATAGCATCCGTGCTACAATCAGACCTACATACAGTGTCAGAGCTAAAATAAATTCTACCATCTCTGTATCATTCAAATTATTCATGTAGTCATTTATCTGATCAACCAATAACCTATGAGGTCAGAACTTAAAAAAATGTATAATTTATTTGACTTTATTACATTTGTCTAAACATCAAGAGTGAATATAAAACAAAAATACAAAAAACATGTATATAGTTAATTTTTTTTTTTTTTTTGAAAGTTACTGGCTCTATTACATTGTAGTATCTGTTCATATACTTTCTCAACCTACTGAAACACAAAGAACCAATAACGCCTCCACCGAGGCTCGAACTCATAATCTTCCAAATGGAAGTTCAACCCGGGTACCATTGGACCACATAGTCCTGGTGTATATAGTTAATTACTTTTAGAGAACTTTAATTAATACATATTATATCTCGTAGTTATATGATGAAATGCGTAAAATTGTGTATTGATGCGATAACTAATAGATTGTAGTAATCAATCCAAAAAAAAAAAAAAAAAAAAAAAATGAAATCAAGTTACTTCTTTTTTTTTTTTTTTTTTTTAAGATCAATTTAAAATTTATTATAAGAACGCATCTATAATATTAACTTTACTAATAGTAAGCATATTTTGACCAGTATAATAATAATAATAATAATAATAATAATAATAATAATAATAATGATAATAATAATAATAACAATATTATTATTATTATGGACAAAAGGCCCATTTTTTCATAAACCCTAAAAACACAAACGAATGGCCTACATTATATATACTCCGTATGTAATTTCTGAAAATGTAGCCCAAATGTGAATTTTTTTTATTACAAAGGAAAGGGGATATCCATACAATCTATGCCTAAGGCTCGAAACCTAAACCTCCCACATAAAGAAGCAATCCGATATAAGTGGACCACAAGCCACTTGGTAGCCCAAATGTGAATTTCCTTCTGAAACCCAAATATTACATATTTACATCTATATCCCAAAAAAAAAAAAAAAAAAAAAAAAAAAAAAAAAAAAAACCTAAACCTAAACCTAGTTTCAGACAAAATTCTTCAGATTTCCTTGTCTCTGCATTCTCCGCCTCTGTCAATTCGGTCTTCTCTCTCTATCAATCCAGAAACTTCACACAGATATCCATGAATCTATGGTTTCTCAATAGATTTAGTTTACTTGTTGTTTATAAACATCTCCAATCTTTAGCCTTTTCAATCGTTTGAAGCATTTTCGATGATTCCCCGTGAGCGAGCGATCACTACTGGAAATTATGAAATTTCCGAGCACATGAAAGTAATTTTAAATCAAGTCGAAAGTCTTGTTCCGATCACTTTTGGTATCCAGAAAAACCTTTGTTGCTATTTCCGACCACTTTTTGGTATCAATTTGATTTAAGATCACTTTCAAGTGGTCGGAAATTTCATAATTTCCAGTAGTGGATATTGTTAAAAAACCCTAAACAAACCATGCTTTCAACAACGAAACTCATTCTATAATCCATAAATGGAGTACCGCAAGAAACATGAGCAACAAATCTAGGAAAAATTCATCATCAAACAACTTTACGCAAACCATGTTTTAATTTGTTCCTGTTCTGTTGGTATAAAATATAAATTTATAAAGATTTTGTTAAAATTTTATTTGAAAATATTGACCAATTTAAACTGTAATATAAATATTTTGTAAAAAATTAAATAATGATTGAATTATACCGTTGCTGTTAGTAAGAAATATATAGGTTAAAAAACTTGTTAAGCCTTTTATTAGGAAAAAAAAAAAGAGGGGGGGGGGTGGGGGGGGGGGTTAAATAATGGTTTTGTTTATTCACTGTAGTGTTAGTACGGAACAAAATATTTTTTCAAAAAAATTGTTAACACTTTTTCTTGAAAATATTGGCTACTTCTTATTCTAATATTGATATTTTGAAAAAATAAAAAAGGTTAAAGTGTCATCCCGCACCATGAACTATATCGGATTATTCATTCCGCACCCTGAACTTTCATATCGTCCATATCAAGCCACTTACCATTAATTTTTTGTCGTCTAACATTTTTTACAGGTTTCATACAGATTACCGGTAAGAATATGCTGACATGGAATTTTATATTTTTTTTTCTTTTTCTTTTTTCGTAAATAGCTTCCCAAAACCCACCACACTGACCCGGTTTTCTCCGGCGACTGTGACGTTTCTTTCCAAATTTGCGTTTGACCATTTATAGAGCCAGCGGTTGAAGTGTATTGTGATTTTCTGGGTATTGAAGTTCTGATCGTGTATTTTCTTTGTTGTTTTCACAACAGGTTCGTCACCAAACATGATATTGCTTTGGCCTCCAGCAGGATTAGAAACTTTGACAGACGTGCGGACATTACGAGGAGCTTGGTTTGGGACACTCGGCGTAGAATCTCTCCGGAGCCTCCACCTGCTCCGCCGTGTAGCGGACATACTTTCCAGCGTCAAGGTGCCCCTGTCAATGCTCCCACTGCTACTCTCTCTATGATGTTGTGCAACCAAAGCCATTATTATTCCCAGAGAGATATTCTCTGCAACTAGGCGATCAGCTTTTATATGTTCACACAAAGAAGAGTGAGATTCTCTGAAGGCTCAAGAACCTTTTCTTTCTTTCTTTCTTGTGATCTCAGAGAAATGAAATGAAAGAAAGATCTTGATTGAAGCAGAAGATTCTTGGGTCATTTTCCCTCCCCATTCCACTCTAGTCTAGCAAAAGAAAGAAGAGGGGAAAAACAAGAAAAGTCCATGGCGAAAAAAATGAAAAAATGTCCAAAGAGCACCTTACCGACTCTGTAAGAAGGCTGATGAAAGGTACGGGAGGCAGAGCGAGAAGCGTTACCGAAGGCGAAGGAGGAGTCGGATGCCGGTGTCTCCGACCAGATGAGTAGATTGGCGGTGGAAGTGTGCGGCTTCTGAACAGGTGTTGCTCTCTCCGCCATTGGCGGCGACGGTGGCTGTTGGAACTCTACTGATGTCCCGTCTTGGTCGCAATTTCAAGTTGACTTTTTTTTTTTTTTTTTTTTTTTTTTTTTTTTGTCAAAGTAAAACTATTACATGGTTGCCACATCAGTTAAGAAATACATCAATAAGCAAAGTAAGCACCACATCACCTAATAACCTGTGCCATGTCATCATAGTAACTTGAAAACCTGTAAAAAATGCTAGATGAAAAAAAATTAATGGTAAGTGGCTCGATAAGAACGATATGAAAGATCAGAGTGTGGCATCAATAATCAGATATAGTTCATGGTGTGGAATGACACTTTAGCCAATAAAAATGATTTATTTTTCCCTGTTCTTAAGAAATATAAATGTTTAAAAATCAGTTCACCTTATTATTTGATAACACTAATCATTTTAAAGTATGATATGTATATTTTGCAATTAAAAAAACGATGGTTTAATTTTTCCCTTTGCTTTCCGTAAGAAGTTTTGAAAGTTTATTATATGCATCCCTAATATAAAAAGTCACATGCACACACATAGTTTTCAAATATTTTATTTTTAATTGAGACCTTTTTTTTTTAAACTGTAATTATCGGAGACGATAGTCAGGAGCTACGTGAAGTAACAGACGAAGAGTATCATTGATGAGAAGAGCTCTACAGAGCAAAAGGTTACAACTGAAAAAGGAGAATACAAGCTACGTATACAGCTTCTGATTAAGTACGTGAGGAAGGAGGGAAAGTTGGTTGTAACTAACTATTGGTGAAGAATTACAGTGTTGCCCCTTGTGCCTAGCCTCAGTATTCTTATTATTCAGTTCAGGTGGTGTGCTGCTCTCTATTACCCCTCCTCCCCCCCCCCCCCCCCCCTCAGTTAAGCTGGTGCATGAAGGTCCTGAGTGCCTAGCTTAGACACAAAGTTCTGGAAGAGGGAGATGGGGAGAGCTTTGGTGAACCCGTCTGCAATCTGCCCAGATGATGAGATGGAGAGAAGCTTGACTAATCCTTGGCTTACTTTCTCACAAACGATATGGCAGTCTATTTCAATGTGTTTAGTTCGTTCGTGGAAGACGTGGTTCTCCCCGATGGCGATAGCCGATTTATTGTCACAAAAGATGGCAGCATGCCTAATCAACTCAACCTGCAAGTCATAAAGCAATGATGTGATCCACTGGACTTCGCAAACAGTAGCTGCAAGGGCCCGATATTCAGCTTCGGATGATGAACGAGAAATAGTAGCTTGTTTCTTCGTTCTCCATGACACTAGAGCAGAGTCGAGAAATATGCAGAAGCTAGTGACTGATTTACGTGTTTCCGGGCATGTTGCCCAATCATAATCGGAGAACACGTTCAATTGCATTGCACCATTTCTGGGATAGAATATCCCCTGACCGAGAGCCTTCTTTATGTACCTTAGGACGTAGTGTGCTGCAACTAGATGCTCATTTGTTGGTGTATCCACAAACTGACTGAGTTGTTGTACTGCGTAGGTAATATCTGGCCTCGTGGCCGTGAGACATAGGAGGCGTCCAACTAGCCGTCTATAACTGTTGGCATCTTCAAGCAAAGTACCTCCCTCTTTCTGAAACTGGTGGCCAGGTACCATAGGGGTGCTTACTGGTTTACAGGATAGAAACCCTGCCTCATTCAATATATCTAAGGCATACTTCCTTTGACACAAGTTCAATCGTTCATTACTGATGTGAGCTTCAATGCCTAAAAAATACCCCAAGCTGCCTAGATCTTTAATTTTGAATGTAGCATCAAGGAAACACTTAAGCTCTTGAATCAAACTGAGAGTAGGACTTGTTACCAAGATATCATCAACATATACCAATATGACAATAAATTGCATACCTTGACCTTTGATGAACAGAGATGGATCCGACTTCGACTGCTCAAAACCTTTGCTCATTAATGCATTGCTCAAACGCGAATTCCACTGGCGGCTGGCCTGTTTCAAACCATAGAGTGAACGAAGGAGCCTACAAACTTGCCCCTGTTTTTTAGTTTGGAAGCCGGGTGGGAGAGCCATGTAAACTTCTTCATCTAAGCTTCCATGTAGAAATGCATTGTTTATATCAAGTTGGTGTGATGAATGCGATGCTTATAAGTTCAGGCCTACCTCAAGGTATGTGGGGTGAGGCAATTTTGACAAGTAATTACCTTTTAAATAAGGTACCCCGCAAGAAGCTCGATAAGACTCCTTATGAGCTGTGGAACGGTAGGAAACCTTTCTACCAATACCTGAAAGTGTGGGGGTGTCTTGTCAAAGTTTTGGTGCCAACACCTAAGAAAATAAAGATAGGTCTTAAGACGGTGGACTGTATCTTTATTGGCTACGCACATAATAGTAGTGCTTATCGGTTCTTAGTACACGAGTCCCATAATCCGGACGTACATGAGAACACGATAATAGAATTAAGAAATGCATATTTCTTTGAAAATGTATTTCCTTGTAGGTCCAATGAGGGACGAAGTACGTCAAAACAGACATTTGACGAAACTATGGATAATGATAGTGAGGAATCTGAGAAAGAACCCGAGCTCGAGCCGAGACCAGCAGTAAGCGGGCAAGAGTTGAGAAATCATTCGGTCCTGACTTTCTAACTTACCTGTTAGAGTATGATTCGGGTACTCTAACTTGTTTATTAGAAAATGAACCCGATTTTCTATCTTGTTTGATAGAGAACGAGCTTCGAACGTATATAAAAGCCTTGACTTCTACAGAAGGACCAATGTGGAAAGAGGCTATAAAAAGTGAAGTGGATTCTATTCTACAGAATCACACTTGGGAACTTGTTGATCTTCCTCCGGGTAGTAAACCCTTAGGATCCAAGTGGGTCTTTAAAAGGAAGATGAAACCTGATGGTTCCATCGAGAAGTGTAAGGCTAGGCTTGTAATCAAGGGTTACAGGCAACACAAGGGCCTTGATTACTTCGACACGTATTCTCCCGTGATGAGAATAAACTCCATTGGATGATACTTGTCATAGCTGCGTTGCGGAACTTGGAAGTTCATCAAATGGATGTGAAAATCACTTTCCTAAATGGTGAATTAGATGAGGAAATCTATATGGAACAACCAGAGGGGTTTGTGGTTCCGGGCCGAGAAAGGAAAGTGTGTAATTTGGTTAAATCGCTCTATGGTTTGAAACAAGCGCCTAAGCAGTGACACGAGAAGTTTGACCATGCGATGTTAACCAATGGCTTTAAAATAAACGAAAGTGACAAATGTGTCTACGTTAAGGAAACGATAGACGGCTATGTCATTCTTTGTTTATATGTAGATGATATGCTCATCATTGGTAGTAACGATCAGATGATCAAGTCTACCAAAAACATGTTAAATGCGAGATTTGACATGAAGGATATGAGTTTGGCGGATTTAATCCTCGGGATTAGAATCATTAGAAGACCTGATGGTCTCGTGTTGAGCCAATCACATTATATTGACAAAATCCTTGAGAAATATAACAAGGATGATGGTCAATTGGCTAGAACACCGTTTGATACAAACGTTCATCTAACCAAGAACCACGGAGAAGGTATTTCATAAGTGGAATATGCTCGGGTTATTGGTAGTTTGATATATCTTATGAGCTGTACTAGGCCGGATATTGCCTTTGCGGTTAGTAAACTCAGTAGATATACGAGTAACCCCGGTGTTATGCATTGGAAGGCAATAGTAAAGGTTATGAGATACTTGAGGTATACTCATAACCTTGGACTGCACTACGGGAGATATCCCGCTGTACTTGAAGGGTATAGCGACGCGAACTGGATATCTGATATTAAGGACTCTAAGCAAACTGTGATAGCTAGCTAGATCCACGATAGAATCTGAGCTGATAGCCTTGGACAAAGGTTGTGAAGAGGCTGAATGGCTACGCCATTTTCTAGAGGATATTCCGAATTTAGAAAGACCTGTACCTCCAATATGTGTGCATTTTGATAGTCAAGCCACAATCGGGAGAGTACAAAGTCATATGTATAATGGTAAGTCTAGACATGTGCGTCGTAGACATAATACCATTAGACAACTACTCACAACTGGTGTTATCTCGATTGACTACGTAAAGTCAGAAGACAATATAGTGGATCCGCTGACCAAAGGGTTAGGCAAAGAAGTTGTGGAGAAGTTGACACGAGGAATGGGTCTAAAGCCCTTGGACTAAAAAGTTCTATAGTGGATATCCAACCTAGCTGGCACCTAAGTTCAATGGGACAACTAAATTAAGGAATGGAGCGTGTCACTGTGGGGGTCTCGGACTCCCTACCACTCCTCGTTGAAATAGTGACTCCCGCAAGAGGCTAGCATGTTGATGCTTTAATGATTCGAATGTCGATTGACATGCGTGAGTATGCGGGATACTCGAGAAAGAATCACCTATGTTAGAGAGAAGTGAGGGTCGCTTCAAAGGAGAATTGATCGGGCACAATTCTTTAGAAACTCTCGCAAAACCAGGAACGGTGACCCACGACCAAAATGGGCACACTCATGAGAATAGAGCATGGTTGGGAGGTTCCTGTGTGAGATATGTCATTGTCTACACAAACGACAGTCGGTTCAAAGACATCGCGTTCTACCGTACAGCTAGTAGAGTAAACATATCTTCACAAGGGAAGGTTCAAAGGGTGCGGTACCCCCTAATTATCCTATGCAGGGATCAACCGTTTGAACACAGTTGTTTCCGATTTCAAAACACCCTGAAAATCAATTTTTCATTCATGAGGGGGATTGTTGGAAAAAATAGCTTAAAATGGCATGTTAAGTGGCTATTTTGTGGTACAATTATCAGTGGAGTCCACTTCCGATTTGGGTCGAGTCTAAGTGGATTTGGATTCTTCGTAGTGAGACGAAGAGATTGATATATTATACGCTCAAAATGGATAATGGGTGAATGAGATATTGATTCTCAAAGTAGACCCATTTGAGTTGGAAAATGAAGGGAAAACGTGAGCTTTTGTCCCACATTGGTTTGGGAAGAGGATTTGCCCCACTATTTATACAAGAGCTCTTTTTAAACTTATTAAATTGTATAGCATAGAGGTTCTCTCGCGCGTGCAGGGGGGTGTAAATCAAATCCCAAAATGAGATCGAAAAGGCTCACTTGTGGGAGGTAGCAAATAAGGTTTTAAGGTCTTGACTCTTGCTAAAAAACCCAACCCCAAACACGAGTCATTCTCTTCATCTTTCCTTCCATTTTTCCTACATAAAATAATAATCCTTTTTTTTTGGGATTATTATTGGTTTATACCAACGAGATATCCAACAAAAGTTGATAAAGTCCTTGTATGACATAAAGTAAACTCCTAAACAGTGGCATGATCGATTTAATCAAGTAATTTTGAGCAATGGGTTCAAGATTAATTAGTCTAATAAGTGTTGATAAGGTTGTTTTTCGAGTGGGATGAATATGAAGATGGTGAAGTGTAAACGAAGGTTGTGACACCCCCGAGTGTCGAACTCAAGGATGGCAAATTGGTTTTAAGGTCTTGACTCTTGCTAAAAAACCCAACCCCAAACACGAGTCATTCTCTTCATCTTTCCTTCCATTTTTCCTACATAAAATAATAATCCTTTTTTTTTTTGGGATTATTATTGGTTTATACCAACGAGATATCCAACAAAAGTTGATAAAGTCCTTGTATGACATAAAGTAAACTCCTAAACAGTGGCATGATCGATTTAATCAAGTAATTTTGAGCAATGGGTTCAAGATTAATTAGTCTAATAAGTGTTGATAAGGTTGTTTTTCGAGTGGGATGAATATGAAGATGGTGAAGTGTAAACGAAGGTTGTGACACCCCCGAGTGTCGAACTCAAGGATGGCAAATTGGAGTGATTAGAATGCAAGACAATTCTTGGTCACAACGCATTGGTAAGGTGATTAGGTGTAAGGTAAGAGTGTGAAGGGAGACATATGCAATGAGGGAGGAAGGAAGGGACATAAACGGGAAATGAAAAGACTACAAACAAGTAGAAAAGGGGAATTGGATAGATATGACTTGTGTTCATGCATCTAATGGCCTAAGGTAGACAAACTATGAGGCAATAGCAAGACTATCTATGGAAGAACAAATGGCACTGTTGGAATATTAAAAGTCTTGGGCAGCTCACTAGCCTTAGTAATTAAAGCCTTGGGGAGATGAGTAGTTTCTTTATTTATTATTGTTTACTCTTGTAGACCTATATATAGACTTGTAACTTGAAGTTAGATGAATATAAGAACCCTTTCTAGCTTTTAACATGGTATCAGAGCCTCTTTTTTGGGGCCTGAAATTTCTCTCAAACACCTACAGCCGATGAACAGTGGTGACTGTTCATCATCCCTTTTCCGACAAAATTTTCCAAATCAGTTCATCCCTTGTCTGCGATTATATGGTGATTTTCTCATATTTTTCTGAAAGCTATGACAAAACATGAAAGTTTAAACAGCATGCTGAAAGTTGCGAGGACCAACTTGTCTCATACTGCTCTTGCATTAAAATCTGATTCATCTTGGATTCTTGATTCTGGAGTCACTGATCACATTTCTGGTAATCTCTCATTTTTCTCTAATATTGAGTTCTCAAACTTGCTTCCCGATGTCACATTTGGTGATGGATCAAAAGGAAAAGCTATAGGAGTTGGAAAAGTCACCATTCATTCTTTGTCTTTATCCAATGTTCTTTACATTCCTGGTTGCCATTTCAATTTGATTTCAGTTAATCAACTTACTCACTCACTTAATTGCCTTGTCACCTTTTTTTCTGATTCAGTGGTTATTCAGAACTGTCAAACAAAAGGGACAATTGGTGTAGGATATGAATCACGAGGTCAATACCATCTTTTATGTTCCACCAATACCAAAACAGCTTGCTCGGCTTCTATTTCACCCCTTCTTAACCAGTGTCGTTTAGGACATCCTGACCTCAATAAATTAAAACAACTGGTTCCTGGATTGTCGAACTTGAAAACCATAGAGTGTGAATCATGTCAGCTTGGGAAGCACTCAAGAGCTTCATATCCTAGTAAAGTGAATAAGAGGG